CTTTCAGGTAAAGTTTCCTTAATTGTACTTTTACTGGGCCAAAAAATTGAATTTTTTGTTTTTATGCTTATTATTTCTAAACACTGGATAAAAATTCTACATACAGAAGTACAGTTTATATTAAATAAAACACCAATTGCTGAAAACGTTAAGTTGTGTTTTATTTTTATCAGAAACATTAATAGTCTATCATTTTTACTTGTGGAACTATTGCACACTTGTGGTAGCATTGAACATAATAGGCCGAACACTTTATTAGCAGTACCAATCAAGTCTTTGAGGAAATTTTCATTTTTTATTGAATTAAATCCATGAAATCTATCACAAGATAAGCATGAATTTATACTATTTGAATCTGGGCACCATAGGCGTAGCATGGTTGATTTTTTTGAGGGGGCTATAGYCTTTTTTTCCTCGTAGAATCAATGATGCTGCTGGAACTTCTTGTGAATTATTTCAGCGAAGGGGCTAGGTCTATAATTTGGGTACAAACATATATAASTACTAACAATTTAACTAAAGAAAAATTTAAAGGAATAAAATATAAAAAGAACTAAATATAAGCATATATTTAAGTTTAATATAAATAAATAAAATACCATATACATATTTTATAATTGAATTAAGTGTAAAAAAAAAACATTTTAAATAGGAAATTATTACCTACAGTATCAAGTTTAAACGTCTACTTTTTTGCGCAAATATATTAAGAACATCTTCAGAATTAATAATATTAGCTAAGTCCCTTTCAATATGAAGTAATGATAGATTTTCAAATCTATCATWAGTCATAGAATTTCTAAGCCATGTTTTTATTCGCCGCATTACTGAAAACGATCTTTCGCATGACGCAGAACTTAYTGGAATAGTAAGTGCTACTTGTAATAGTTTATATAAATTTGGAAAAACGCTATAAACAAAACGCCTATGCTGGGCACCAAGATTTATCAGAGGTAGATGTAAGATAATTAAGAAACGCCTATGCTGGGCACCAAGATTTATCAGAGGTAGATRTAAGATAATTAAGAAAACCGCGAAAGACATCTTGAGAAGTTACTTGAGTTCTAGCATTTTGATTTTCAAATGAACATTCAAAAGAAAGCTGAACAGATTCTAGTTTTACCATGAAAAAATATACAAAATGGTGGAACCTGGCTTCAGTGAAGCTAATGCCCAGAGTTACTTATCTAGTCAATATAGAAATCTATAAAAAATTGTAATTGCCGTGCAATCATTCATATCTATAGCCGTGATAATAACTGTCACAGCTATGTGGCAATAACTAATAAGTATGATTAACGCTGTAAAATGAGTTTTAAAGTAAGCAGTCATATTATATATTTTTATAGGACGAATAAAACTTATTGTTCAATCATAATTCAAAGATTAAAAGAACCAAGTAACGCCGACATTATCACCCCAGAGCGCTAGTAATACACATTTGCACAGCTTCTATAGAATAACATTGCATAATTTGGTCGTGCTATCACTAACCCATAATGTTAACGGATCTTATATTTTTTTGTGCGCAAAATAATTAACCGTTGAAAGTCCAAACTTTTCTTTATGCTGTTGGTTTCTCAAGAATTAATTTGCGCGCCGTTCTCTATACTTGGCTACTCGGGCACGTTTATATTCTCTACACTACTGTTGTCACTACGAGTGATGTTCTGAAGTCCTTCCAGTGAGGTAATACAATTTGATATGTCGAACACCAACGTCAACGTTAGTTTTGCTTGCCAACGATGTTTCTCACCAATCCGATTGGACAGCTCGTTCAACAGCATCAGTGAACACACTGTTGCTGAATTGTCACGTAAGTATTAAATTGATTAATATTTGATCTCATTATGGTGTACTTAATGGTTGTTGTTGCTGTTTGCAGTGCCGATCGTCGCATGTCCAGAAGTAGATCTTGAGTCTCAGGCAAAACATATTGATCACATAATACCTGGTTTTCACTTGAATGATTCATCCAGTGGTAATAATGGTTTCACATTGTTGGGCGAAGGGGAAACACCGACTCTTAGTCATCAAATGAAGGTTAGTTACATGTAAACATTGTAGTTCTTATGTGTGGTTAGATTATGTTTAATGGTTATTTCAAGGGTGCTCTACTCACTACCCTCGATAGATAATAATGTAGTCCCCACTTCAATTTAATATCCTGTCCTACGTGACTACAAATTATTCATGTCCTTGCTATTAAGCAGTATGTAAGCAAGAATGAAAAACATTTAAGGTAAGAATTGGTCTACTATTTTGGACTTGCACCTGGAAAATTATATGAGGATAGTTTCATCATCAATCTATCTGAATATTGATTCATTAAAAAAAATCAATTTACAATTTCTCATTAGATATTTTTTTTTTAGTATTTTATGTATAATATTAAAATAATTTTATATTCTTTTGTGTAGGTGGCAGCTAATCTTTTCGATATTGTGTCTGGAAATTCAAAGGTAAATCATCCACTGTGCGATGAGTGCACTGATGTATTGATGGACATGATGGAAGAGGAGCTACAACAAGCTGAAGCGGACTACATAGATTATAGCAATTACTTGAAAGAGTTTGTAACATTTTTATTATAATTTAGACTATTGGTTATTAAATTATAACATTATATTCATTATTTAGACTTTCTGCTGAAGAACCAGAAGACATGGATGCATTGAACAAAGAGTTGGAAGACGTGAGTAGTAAATATATACTATAAAAAAAAAAAAAAAAAGCAGTGAATAGAGAATAAATTAAATAAATGGGTAACAAAGTTCATGAAAAAGTCCACTAAAAATAGATATCATACGAACATTTGTTGTTGGATAGCTTGGCACAGCAGTGGTGGGTAGTGGTGCACCTCTTAAAGTTGCTTATCTAAAATGTAAAAAAAATTCTAATTTTGGTTTTAAAAAAGTACTTGGCAGAATATTTATTTTTTTATCAATAATGTAAAAACTAGCAAAAAATGTATTTAACTTGTTGATATGGTTAAAGATACATAATTTTACTGTGTCCATAAATAATAAATTATTATTAGCAAAGAGTATGTTGCAAGAAACGAATATCTTTAATCTTTTTTGAAGAATAATTTAAAGGATAATTTTGTMTACATTTTGATGAATAACTGGGGTATCTTTATCTGTTAGATACGCTAATATCATATAAATAAAATGCCTGGTATACTGAGTTTGGTGCAATGACTAGGTATTATTTTATACATTCCAAACTATTTCAAAATAGAAAATATAAAGAAAGTCGGTTCTTGCACCAGACAATTCAATTGTTATAACTTATAGTTAATATCCAACTGTAAAATGAATTCAAAAATTCTAATACCGTTATAGTTGTTGAAAGAAGAAAAAAAGTTAATGAGTGAACTAGCAAACTTGCAAGACACTGAAAACGCATTAGATTGTGATCTAAAGGAAGCAGAGAAAGAAAAAGAAAGATTAATTAAAGAAGAAGAGCGGTATTGGAAAGAATACAGTAAACATCGAAGGGATTGTATTCTTATTGAAGATAAACAAAAAAGGTTTGTTTTTACTATAGAATGAGTTTTGATTTTTTAATACTGACATGATTCAGTTTTATAAATTATTTTAAATTTAAAATCAGATAATTTTATTTTATATTTTTTAAATGTACAATATTTGTTGTAGCGTTGAATGTCAAATAATGTATACCACTTCACAATTGGCCAAGCTCAGAAAGACAAATGTATTTAACGCTACCTTTCACATATGGCATCATGGTCATTTTGGGACTATTAACAAATTAAGATTGGGTAGATTGCCATCTGCTCCAGTGGATTGGGCAGAAATAAATGCAGCTTGGGGACAAGTCACGTTGCTGTTAGTGTCATTAGCTAGATATATGAATTTAAAATTTGAAAAATATCGTCTTGTGCCTTATGGAAATCATTCTTATGTTGAAGTAAGTTGTTATAAATATTCTGTTAAGATTATTTGAAAGAAAAAATTTAATTTACCTAATAATTATTTATATAGAAAACATTAACTTCCGATCATTTATCTAACCATATCAATATTTTTTTTTACAATATTCCTGAATTCATATTTTTGACAAGTTCTTTGAAGTAAATTAATTGTTAGTTAATTAATATGTACTAATTATAAATTATAAAATTTATATTTAAACTAATTACAATGTATAAACTATATATAAAGTAACAACAATTATAACATGAACATTTGTTAAGTTAATAATAGTCAGTGATAGGATATTATCATTTATAGATTTATAAGCAGACACTGAGTTCTGTTACCAGACCTAATACTTTTTAGTTATTATATTCTTATCTTAATAGGTCTCTAGACCACTGCCTTTTGAGTCTTCTATGTACATCATTAGGTGGGTTACTTCTCAGTAAAAGTTAGTTTAAAATCCAAAGCTATATAATTTCTTATATGATGTGTATAAGTTTTCATTATTAATAATTCATTGTTGGTCATAAATTGGACTGGTACCAAATAAAATACATTTTATTAACTAATTTTAATGTTTTAGGTCTTAGGCGAGAAAAAGACATTGCCACTGTATGGCCAAGGTGGCATACGTTTTGTCTGGAACACAAAATTTGATTTAGCTATGGTTGCATTTTTAGACTGTCTTCAGCAATTCAAAGAAGAAGTTGAGAAAGGTAATTCTGGATTCCATCTGCCGTATCGGATGGAAAAAGGAAAAATAGAAGATTCAGCAACTGGCAATACATATAATATCCGGTAATTAAATTTAATTACATTTATTAAAAATATAAATTATTATTTGAGCACTAATATTTATAATATATATTGTCATTTTAGAATACAATTGAATTCCGAAGAAGGTTGGACAAAAGCTCTCAAGTTCATGCTTACTAATTTAAAATGGGGTTTAGGTTGGGTATCTGCTAAGATAAACCACGAAATGTAAATTAAAAAAAAAATGTATGATGAATTTGAAATTGAAAAATAATATAATTTTTATTTTATAATTTTTATATAAATGTTTAACTCATTAAATATTAAATCAACAATGTAATTGGTTTTAATTTAATTGTTCAAAACAATTTTGTTGGTTAAAAACCACATTAAGCCAAAAAGAAAACTAGACGACCCATTTAAAACTTCAGATTGAGTGATGATATCTCTGATTTGTGGTATAGTATATTCTACGACTTCAATGTCTTCTCCTTCGTTCGCAAGACCTCCTCCATCAGAAACTTTCATTTGATCAGTCACTTCGGTGTAAAAAAATGTCATAATGGAACCAGCTGTACTTAATGCAGCTCTAGAAATAAAAAAAATCATTACAATTCAATGGTTTATCTTTCAACTTTTATTGTTATTAATACATTATTAAATTATAATATATAATAAACGTTTTATATTTTATAAAACATTAATTGTCTGTATAGAAAACAAAATTTGAGCTTTTATTTTTATATCCCTCATTAATAACTGACTAAAAATAATTGCATCAGGTGATTTATAATGATTAGTGTAGAAATAAATAAATAAAAAGGTCTAGACATGAGAAAATGTATGCCTGTCAACCTTTGATGTATAATATGTCCTCCAATAATTTGTTTGAGACCACGCGTAAACATGGGTAAGTAGTTGAACATTTAAATAGCTATTGAAAATGTGTTCGAGCTGTAGTAAAAACATTATTTAAAGCTTTATTTAAGATTATTTGATACTTAAAAATGATAAATATATTTTACATAAACATCACACTCACTCATCAATTAGTGAAAATAAAAATGGATTAATTTTAAAAAATTTATTTAAACTACATTACTTCTATAATAAAATGTCTATTTGTCAACAGGAAAACAATGATATTAGATGTAGTATAAAAATAGTGGTCTAATAATGCACTATTAATATACCATGGTAGAAACTAGAAAGTATAAATATACTAGGTATATTTTAATTTTTAAAGTAGAAAAAATTATAATAACATTACCTACAACTGATGATTTTTTCCATATCTGACACTTTGACATCATAGCCACATTCTTCTCTAACTTCATCAACAGCTATTTCTACAAGAGATTTGTTCTTGTCTACAATGCCAGCACAAAATTCAACGGTCAATCCAATGCTAGTTGGATATTTTACAGTATCAATAGGTCCATCTTTTGGCCTATCAGATTCAGGTATACTTTTATAGTAGACACCTACAAATAATTATAAACATTCAACAATACAATACAATATACCAATCAATGTACAATTGCTACCGGGTCTAAATTGTTTAACGCACACCAATGTATTTCTGGTTCTGTTGTAAATGATCACAAACACTCTACACATAAAAAAAAAAACCAGCTAGATAAAAAAATAGGTAATTACATTAATAATTTAAAGATGTAAATTAATATTCTTATATTTATTTTATTTTGGGCATTAAAAGTAAAAAAGGTACTCGTCTAATATGCTACCTACCCATAAAATAGTATCTACCAAAATACTGTATGCGGGTGCCGTATAGTATGCTACCTACCATAGTTGGTCAACTTTTTTACCAATAATACAAAATGAAATAGAACTAGGATTAATTATTTATTCAGATCAATGGCGAGTAGTACCTTAAAAGATATAGATTATCACCACGAAACCGTCAATCATTCCGAGTGTTTTGTTGATCCTACAACGCGCCCAAACACAAACGATCGAGTGTATATGCCATATGGAGACATGTTAAAATTAAATATAAAATTAAAACCCGAAGAACAACAGATTTGTTAGACCGACAATTAATAGAAGAATGGTGGTGGTTCGTTAATATCCAACACGATTTATTAGAAGTTTTCTGGAATGATATAAAAATAGTATATGATGTATAATAATATATTAATATATAATGACGAATTGAAATATTATAAAAAAATAGTATATAATGACGTATTGAAATATGAAGTACTTGAAACGGTAAATAAATTATTTAGTAATAAATTGTTTTAATTTGTTATTATTTTATGGTAGGTAGCATACTACACCAACGAAGTAGCGGTAGGTAGCATATTAGACAATTACCGTAAAAAATATAACCAGACCATTGAAAATGGTACCTAGGTGACACCTAGTAGGTGTATATTATCTATATTTTTTTTTTTATTAATTAAAAAAAAAAATAGGTAATATATAATAAATAATTGATTAATAACTTTTTAATTGCACTGAAAATAAATTGTGAAAATTTTAAATTGTATAATTAATAGGAATTACTGATTTAGTTATCCTCATAAGTAAGGACAGTATTTAAATGCAAAGATCATTATTATTATTATTTTTTTTGTGTTCTAGAACAAAATTAATTTTATGTAAAAGATACTTTAAATGTGAAATTTTTACTTCACTTTATTTTGCATTTTTTAATGTTATTAAATTTTTAGAGAATTTATAAACATTTTTAGCTCATTTTATTAATTTTTAGTGCATATATTAATACATTRTACAAACCTTCACCATAATTTTTAGCATGCTTAAACAATTTAAACAATATAAAGGGTATCTAGTTAAACCTGAATATACTGTATTTTTTGGTTTTAAAACAATTCTATTACCTACTTAATGAGTCATTTAACTAATAGTTAGTATTTCTCACATAATAAATACTTATAAAATGAAAAGCAAAATCATTTACTAGATAGTATGATGTAAGATATTTGAGCTTCTTATATTCATCATTATAAATTATTAAAATAATTAAAACATATATTATTAAATAGATATTTTTTTAATTAACTAATTTTATTTTCTAACTTGTTAAATTACATTGAAAAATATTTTGATCTTCTCAAGTTAGAAATAGAAATTCATAGGGACTAAAATTATGTGTAATATGAAATTAAAAAGTGTGTTATAGTCTGTAATAACTAGTAACTTTTTTTAGTTTTTCTTCAATGAATTATATCTAATATAGTGTTTTCAAGATGACTAGATCGATAACGTTTTATTGTGATGTAGTCTGTAGATAATTAAAAATTGACTACCCTACGTTTATTAATAATTGTTATAAGTGCATCATTTAAAACATAATTGCATTTATATTTTCATTTATGCACTGTACTCAAATTTTGTACACTACAATTAGGTTAACATTTTTTTAGTAATGTCTATAGGACCCTAAAATAATGCATTATATTAAATATATTTACCCATTATGGCTATCTATTAGGTCCCATTTTATTTCATTTCCTCCCTAAATAGAAAAACAAAAAATGCATTGATATTTCGCAGCTAATAATTTCTAAGTAAAATATCAATTTCGATGTGTACTTGTTTAAATATCAATGAAAACGGTTTAATAAATGCCGATTCTGTGGTTTTAACGACCCTGACATCGGTTATAGGCTTCATGGTTATTTCAAACAGGTTTCGAGTAGTTATCTGTAAACACGAAAAACAAAATTACAAAATATTCAAGCAGCCGAAACGATGTAAAAACATAGGTACATTATGTATAAAATAAATATAATTATTATATAATTTACCTACCCGCGTAACGAGATAATTCAGGCGTAGAGCGGACGGTTGAGGTTTTAAGTACTCTCTATCCAGTTAATGGCCAATCGGGACGGAAAATGAAACGTAACTAACGAAAAAGAAAATCTATAAAATTCGTTAATCGATCCCAAACTGTGGCGGTGGCATACTCGGATATCAATAATTGTCGCCGCACACTGTAATACCGTATTAAATAAAAACAAAATATTATATTATTATTATAGCCAATAGGTACCGCGTATTAATGTGTGTCCATGTCAACCGTTATCATGGTAAACACCACAGATATCTATACTATACTATATTAGTATAGATATCTATTCTGTGGTAAACACCGATGATGATAAATATAATAAAATATTAATAGATATCACTATTTTAAAGAACAGGTTATACGTCGGAAGGAATATTTTCGGTCAGATTTTGTTACAGTGGTGTAGTTCTTCAAACCGCCGAGCGCTGCAAGTATGGAGTATGGACATATTCATTAATAATTCCTATAATACAAACTACAAACCATATTAAGACTAAGTTTTTAATTTATAAATTAATAAACTTTTTCATAGCCTCATAGGTAATTTATAGACCTACATTTTGAGTGTAGCCTACTATAATTTTAGACCTTCATTTTTTTTATTTAGACCCTACTATAACAACTCAGTAACAAGTATAACAAAATGTTGATAATATTAATATATTTTTCATCAAACTAATTGAATTATTTTATTTTAATATAAAAAGTATTAATCTTTTTTTAGACATTCATTTAAATATATATTTTTAAGAGATTGGCAATGGCATTTAAAAAATAATTTGATTCATTTTAGATTATTTAACATTTTTGTTTTTCGCGGCTTATGTTTGAAATGCTTGAATAATAGTTGTTCGAAAAAATATGCCTGGTAATTTAATATATGATTCTGCATAGTTTTGAAATAGAAAAATGTTCTATAATTTCACTACAACGATTAGGTTCACTAGGACTGGTTCCTAAGATTTAGTTGGTAGGGGGGCTTTCATAATTTTCACAAATGATTATACAATATACGGAGTCAAAAAATCTTTATTTTAGTAATCAGTTAAGTGTGATGACTGACAGTGACTTTGTGTATGTTAGTATTTTTAGTATTTAAAAGTATAACTTTATTCTGTGTGGTAGGTACAAAGTAAATACATTTTTTTAAAAGTACATATTATATTTTCATGAAACAGACTCACATAACACATGTTGGTAAATTTACCAAATTTGTTTACTAGTAGTAGTTAGTAGTTTTAAATACTAATTGTGTTTTACATTATAATTGTGCACTCAAATAAACTTGGAGTTTAGGATTTAACATCACACTATTAGATAGGCACAATTGAAAACTAAAATCATAACATTAATGGTATTATATTTATTTTGTAGGTAATCAATTAAGCTCTTCTGATTTATTCATAGATAGGTAGTTATTGTTTATACGGCTATAATGCATCAACTAATAAATACAATAATTAATAAGTTGAACAATGAGTTAATCTTAATTCATATTATTAAATTATTTATTTATGAAAATCAAACATTTTATCATGATTATAATAATATTATAGTATTATAATATTATAATATAATATTATAGTATTAATATATAACTGTATTATATGTATATAGTATAGACGTATAGTGCTAAAATTAGGGGGCGGGACTCAGCTCCTATACTAGCTGTAAACAGTGGCGAAACGACCGTGGTGTTTGAGAAACGATTGCTTCTCGATTTTTTTAAGGTTTGTGGATGGGTGGGTGCCGTGGGTATAATATATAATAGGTACCTATAGCGGTTATAGGGCTATAGCCGGCAAGTCGGTGGGTGAGTGTGTAAATTGTAAGTTTGCTTATGGGTTATTTATTTTAGGTTCGTTTCGCCACAATTATATTCTACAATTTACCTAATTAGTAATTACCTTTTTGATGGACGATTTTTGACAATTCATTTTAGAGCACGGTTAACTAGCAGCGCCAATCTAGTGGTAAATAGCCGAACCATATCACTGTAACAATATCTGACCGCGGTTGTGCCATACAAACTACAAAGCCGCGGCTACCGACGCATAACTTGTTCTTTATAATCAAAAAGTATAAATTTATAATGAGATCAGTGTGGTAGCACAGAATATATGAAATTTATTTCATATATTCTGTGGTTGTACTGGTTGTAGTAGGTGTTTACTGTTTACCACCATGACTATTTACTATTTAGTGATGCTACGTCATAGTTGTACGTGTCAGTCGCAGTGGGGTTAGAGTGGTTAGACCACAACTTATTGCTACGAACAACTACCACTCCCACAACGATATAAATATATAATATAGTATTTTGAGGATATGACTGAAATAGTGAAATGTTATTTTTCCATCGTATTGGTTATATTATTTAATTTTATAATCCGACTCTGAAGTAAATTAAATGTTAAGTTGCATATTGTAACAATTCGTAACACAGAATAATTACTTAATACTGAACTGAACTTATTCAGTTAACAATGACTATTTAAAAAAAATATAAATGTATAATAGTATGTCAGAGATTTGTAATAATGTTTTGCAGAATTTTGGAGTAGTTTTAGAGATTTTATCTCGGGGCTCTCGGCGGAATGCATTCGGAAATTCGGATGAGTATTGAGTGACTCAATATTTAATAATATTGTGGTACCTATATGATTCTCGATGTAGTGTAGTTGTAGCAACGTTGTTTTGTTATTTATCATATTTCAGGGGGGGTACTTTGATAATTGATTAGGATGTTACGTTATCGCGGTCCGTCAGACACTCCGAGCACAGAATATAACAATGCTCCGAGTCTCCGACCGCGGCTGACCGACGACCGTCACAATTGAACTCTTCACTATAGTTCACTGTTCACTTCATTCTCCACTTCATCAGTCATTCACCCGCTGGCCGCTACCAGCGCTCTGTAGTGTGTTGATCTGTTGAACATTCGAGCGACGCCGACTCTTCCTAGTATTTTGTCCCTCATCCGATTTTTAATTTCCTGTAACTAATAAAAACATTTAAAAACAATAATTGAATAACAGGCAACAGCACACTCACTGAATCATATGATCGTGTCGAGTGGCCAAAATCTGTGGAAATTATACGGCAGAGTACGTCGCTTATCAACCGCAGGTCCTATTCGTATGGCAGATTCGAGCATTGCACGTAAGTCGTCCATCTGTTGATGATTCGTTCATTTTCCAGGTGAACCGTTGACAGTTGTAATCTGGTAGTTCTTATTTTAAGTAGCTGTTATTATTGTTGTCGCTGCATGTTAGTGTTTTGTAAGTTACAAATTGTAACTGTTGCTCTAATGCAATCACCCTCCGTTTTACACAACACTGTGCGTATAACCTGTTAAAGTAGTGTGTCTGCAACGGTCACCATGTTTGCCAAATCAATATCGTCGTTTTTCTTTGCTAGGACACTAAACACGACCATACCCAAGATGATGTCGTCCACATGCATTGAAGCATTGTCCGCTGAAGGTCGCCAGGACTTTTACAGCTCGTTTGACACCGTACTCACTGATTGCGACGGTGTACTGTGGCTGCTGAACAACACAATACAGGGTGCCACAGAAGTCATGAACGGCTTCAAGGCGAACAACAAGAAGGTGTTTTTCGTCACCAACAACAGCACTAAATCCCACACGCAGTTCTTGGAGAAGTTTCACGCACTAGGATTCAAAGCCCTTGCCAATGAAGTGGTCAGTACTAGTTTCTTGGCTGCAAAATACTTAAAAGCCAATCTCGATCCATCTAAGCAAGTTTATGTGGTTGGATCCCCAGCTATTGCATGTGAACTAGATGCATTGAATATAAGACACTTCGGTGTTGGTGAAGATTATTTAAAATCTTCTGTACCCACATTTGTTGAAAACATAAAGCTTGAACCTAACGTTGGTGCTGTGTTGGTTGGATTTGACGAACATCTTAGTTATCCAAAACTATTTAAAGCTGCATCCTATTTGAAGGATCCTAATGTCCTGTTTGTGGCAACTAACACTGACGAGAGTTTCCCAGTGCCTGGGACAGGTTTAGTTATGCCTGGCACTGGTAGTCTGGTGTGTGCTGTCAAGACTTGTGCTGGACGAGAGCCATTTGTTGTTGGCAAACCGTCAAGTTATATATGCAATGTCCTAACAGAAACTAGTAAAATCGATCCTTCGAGAACATTAATGATTGGTGACCGTTGCAACACAGATATACTGTTGGGTAAACGTTGTGGTTTTAAAACACTGTTGGTATTAACTGGTGTTAATAGCCTGAAGGATGTGGAAGAGTGGAGTAATTCTGATGATCCTAAATTACTAGAGTTGGTACCTGATTATTACGCTCAGAGTATTGATAGTTTAAGAGCGACATTTCCAGTGCCATTGTAATGATTAAATTACAATTATTACTATTTATTTTAAATAGATAATTAAAAATATTAAACTAATGCATTTTAGAAAAATTATATTGTGTTATCACTGTTTTTAGACAATTTTTAGGGGTGGATCCTTTAAATGTTTTTTCACATTCTGTTCAACTTAGCTATATTTTAGTCATAAGTTATTGTTCAACATTGATTTTACTTCAATCATAGCAAAAATTATGGAATGTATTTCATACCCATCATTATACAGTGTATAATGTTTTTGGAAATGTTAATTCTCTAATAAAATGTGTATTTTATCTTAAATAGTACAATGTATAATTCTTATGTTATCATAGAATAATAATATGTTACCTATTCTGTTTAATTTTTTTTGTAAATTAAATTTTTGTTTTTTTGTTAATGAACAAATGTTGTGATAAACAGTCTTTTATTGTTTATCTACCAATATTTGTTTAGTTGTTATAAACAAAGGCGGAAATCCATAAAAATTTCTGGGAGGGCTAAATTAACTAAAAAAAAAACTATATTCAAATAAATCAGATTTCACATGAAACCTGACAAAATATTTATTTATTTTTTTTTTTTTGGGGGGGGAGGGCTGTTACAATATTTGGTTTACTTATTTTAATTTTAGTCTATTTTTGACTCTATATATTCTAAATTTATAAAGTATCTATTAAATACTATCTAGTACCTATTAATTAAGATTAATTGCGTGGAATAAATAAAAGTATAGTAGGTTTTTACTTAACACGCGCAATACTCAATTACAACAACAAATTGATCAATACTTATAGAGTTACATTACCAACACTCGACAGTAAAATAATAAATATTACATAAAAATGAGTCTCGCATTAATTGTTGTCGGTGATATTTCCCTAAGCGCTGTCATCAGTCTTTTTTTGTTCCACTACATATGTATGTAGTGTTAAAATATTCATTTTTATAATTTTGTTTTGATTTATTATTAAAAATATAATAGTAACTTATTTGGTTGTTAATTAAACTTCGCTCCAATATATTCATTGTGAAAAAAAAAAAATAAACACCTATATTTCGGCGTTCTTCAGTGTAGTATACTCATAAAAAATAATAGGAATATCACTGTATACTGTATAGTGTATAACAATCAATAATTATGAGTTTATCAGTCAGCTGATTTTTTTTTTTTAATAGGTTTTAAGTAATTATAAATTACTTAAACATTGCAATGTCAGATACATCATAGGTACTTATTAAGTTATAATATGTTATGTGTTCTTATTAATTATTATCTTTTAATACAGTAATACTTGTCACATTTGAATACCATTCATGCATAAAAAATAATATATTCAATATTCATATATTATGCAATTTTAAAATTAGTATTATACTATTGTTTAACATTTTCTAGATAAATTATAGAAAAATGTTTTTCAATTTTGAAACATTAAACTCACAAATAGCATAATATTATTTATTTAATTAATCATATTATTGTACAAAATACTATTGTTTATTTAACATTTACTGTAAATTGATAGGGATTATTGATAAATCTGTGAAAGAGACATGATATCATATTATCATTTGTCTGTAGTTACTTATATTATTATTGTTGGGATGATGCAATATTTGCAAGTTATACGTGGATTCGATATGATTCGTTTTATTAAGATAACCTTTCTTAAAAAGTTCATCATTTTAGAGTTATTAATTGAAAATTTAGATTATACCGATAGATATTACCTATTTTAACACCATTATTAAGTTTCATAAGATTACATTAATACTTATTTCATAATTAACTATATATTATAATATAGATTCATTTTGTTATAGAAATATTCAAAATTATACAATTTATTTATAATTGTAAATCTATATTGAAAAACAATGGTCTTGTTTATTGATTTAATATTGACAGCAATGGACATTATTACTCATACTTTAACTGTCATTAGTTAGTTTGCATTAATTTTGTTTAATAATATACTTATAATAGACATCGTTTTCAACAATTATTTAGTTGTAAGTTTTTAATAAAGATGATCAGCTGTTTTGTCTTATCCAGGTTGTGGGCTTTCAACAGAATATTGGAAATTCCAACTTTAATGATCTTGTTTGTAAAAAAAAGTACCTACCTACTTGAAAATATAATCCTGGTGTGATTAATCTGTATTGTTGCTTGAATAATATATATGTGTTAAGTAAATTAACTTATATTTAACTGAGATTGGCGAGATTTAACTTTATTCAAATAAAAGAGAATAGCTTAAAAGTATAGATACCTATGTGTTTAAAAATTATTTTGTTTTGCTCATTATTTTTATTTACTTTTAAATTTGAATAATAGACAATAGTATGTATTGAAAATATGCACATCATTATATAGTAGCTATGTGGATTGTAACCGTTTTAAGTATTTGTGGGAGAATATTTCTGGMTCCAAAATAAATCTTTCTTGTAATGAAAAGTTAGAAGCTCCACTTGGAAACTGTAGTCTGCAATATTTTCACTTGTGAGTCAATGAGATTCATAATAAAATCCAATGTTATACATATTATATGTCTCTGTGTTGTGTTTGCATTTTTAACGTTAAAATCAATACTTACATAAAATATACTGTCAGAATATTTAATTATAGGTAATAGACTAATATATTAATTGGAATAATAGATAGGTAAATAAATAAATTAAAAAACAATAAGTACCTACCTAATTCATTTTTATATTTTTTTTGTCTGGATTCCTTTTAATGTGGTAAAAATACTTCGATTTTCCATTTTCCACTATGAGGGTAGTTTCTGGTAGGAAATTTAATCTATTTGATACTTTCTACTGATATAGTTGTTGAAATATATGAATAAAATAAACTGTACCCTCTTGCACAATATCTGTATAAACGGAACCTAATTTGTTGTCAGTTGATGTTATAATTCTATAATGAATAATAACATTAATTAATAATTACCTACATATTATTTATTTTGGGAATAAACTTTAGCATATTATGTGCATTGAAATAAACTATATTTATAGTTTTTGCAAATATGCTGCTGTGCGCTGGGCGGCATTAATATAGTTATCACTGATGCACTTGTCTATATTTAGTATTTTTCTCTTATTCGCGCCATAGACAATATAAGAATGGATAGGACACGCCTATACCAGTTTCATATGGGACTGTGTGTTTTTTTGGTATCTGGTCACTTCCCCGTCTGCCATTTCCCCCTCACACGTTTCCCCGTATCCACTTCCCCGTATGACATTTCCCCTTCCATATTGTATTTATTTCTGAAATATTCAAACTATATCGTGTAAATATAATAATATGTGTAATATAATTAATAAAATATAAGTAATAAAAATACAAAAAAATTATCATAAAATATTTTAATGTTGTAGTTCTAAATTATGAGCGATTCCAATTAAGTACTCATATAGATCACGTTCATCATATGTAGACACAATATTTTCTATACGCCTAGCAATATCTCGATATTTTTTTCTTTTTTGCTGAAGGTTCCTGTCCAGCAATAAATTGATTAATTTTGTTAAATGTTGTTCTTTTTTGATAACCTCAATAAGTCGCCATATAGTAGGATGAACCGCAGCTAACAAAGACGAGAATGCTCTATGCCAACCTTCAATATTATTGTTTGTTTTTGGTAAACCTGCTTGTGCAGCATCATATTGGTTCCACAATTTCAAATCAAATATTGGAGGTCGCCGTATATTTCTTCGAGTTGGTCTCCCAATCCAAGTATCTTCAAAATAATCTATTAAATGGATAATAACTCTTCATTGTCTACAAAAAAACTGTTGAGACATTAATTTATCAAATTTAGTTTATTTATATTAGTTTATCGACGAATCATTTGGATTTTACACCGATAGCGAAAAATATTAGTCGAAAACATTAACAATAAAATAGCGAAATGTAGACGTATAGAAAATATTGTGTCTACATATGATGAACGTGATCTAAATACCTACTTAATAATTTGAATCGCTCATAATTTAGAACTACAACATTAAAATATTTTATGGTAATTTTTTTTTTTATGTTTTATATTTATGAGTATACTTATAATAGACGGGGAAATATCTTACGGGGAAGTGGTTACGGGGAAACGCGTGACGAGGAAATGGCAGACGGGGAAGTGTCCATGAATCGTTTTTTTGCGGAAGAGAGAACGTAAAGAGAGAAAGACGATATGGGGCCTTTTTTAAAGTTATGTACAAAAACTGTTTTATTAAATAATAACAATTACATGATGGCTGATACTATAGACAATAGTCATGATACTAATATTCTATATTACAAATTACAATACCTCTGAAGTAAATTGACTAAACTCTTTCATTTTAGACATGAATGATGAATGAAAATTGTATATTACAATTTACAATGAATACTTTTAATAATTGTTGAATATCTTAATTATTAATAAATTATTACCAAACTAAACAACATTATTAATACTTTACTCCTGTCAACTTGTTTTAAATACAATACTTAATATAGATCATTCTTATTTATTACTAATTATGATTATATAGTAACTAGTAAGACGCAGTAACTAGTAACAGCTAACACGGAGTCACGGACTAATATTATTATTTATTATCATTTATCATAATATCAATATTTGCCCTATATAACTTTAAAAAGCGGGTAAGCGGATGTCGCTCTGCTGTACATTAGGTGGTGGGGTGGACCCCTGACTAGGGTAGGTTAGATTTGAATGGAATGATAGGTATCATTGTATACGAAAAACGATTCTGAACGGAGATGATTTGCCAGTCTAGGATATATTATATTTAAATATTGTCATATACATGTTCTATTTTGAAACAAATATTTTATATTTTATCAATTAGGACGTATTTTGCATAAGGAATGGTTAATCAATTTTTCCAAAAACATTGCATGTAGTTATCATAATTCATAATACCTTATATTATCATAGATACACAATATACCTGGTTTGAGGATAAATCGTTATCTTTCAAATTTCCTTTATAGCTATTTGAAGAAAAACTTATGGAAAACTTAGTGTTGAATTTTTTAACCTTAAATATAAATACAAACAATTTTGTGAATTTTGAACTACAAAATAATTTGCAAATATTCATGGTTTTGACGAATTATTGTCAATATTTGAACTTCAAATGCTAATAAAAAAAATTGAGCCTATGTATTCTTATAATTTTTTAAACACTATATGAATAACTTATGAGGAACTTTGTATTAAATTTTCAAGTATTTTAATAGGGCCAAAAAAATGTTATCGACACTTCTAAAAAAAATTTTCATAAAAATCG